ATTAATAATAAAAGCAAGATTAAGTGATTTCTCTGTTATTTCTTTTTCAGCGAGTCCTGGAGAAGTGAAAATCTAGGCTAGCCCAGTAACTTAGACTAAAAATATCCTTGCTAGAATTCTCTACTTAACTTTTGCTTAGAAGATATATTGGCTATTTCTTTTTCTTAAGGAACCCAGTGTTATTATTATCATTATTATATCTTAATACCTTACATATTTTAGGGACTTTTCTAAATTTCAAAATATTAAGGGGGTACAAATGTTTTAGGTTACATGGATCACTTTTGTAATGCTGGAGTCCTGGCTATAGGTCTGCCCATCACCCAAATAGTGTTCATTGTACCCATTAAGTAGGTTCTTACCCCTCCCCTTCTCCTCCCTCTTCCTTCCCCCCTGGTTGATTTCCACTGAGTTTTACTTCTCTCTGTGCATATGTGTGCTCATTGGTTAGTTCCAACTTAAGAGTACATGTGGTGTTTGTTTATACACTCTTGAGATACTTTACTTAGGAGAATGGTCTCCAGTTCCATACAGATTGTTGCAAAAGATATTGATTCATCTTTTTGGCTATTTCTTAAAAACAGATTTGAAGCTCTTTTGTTTAACTGCTTAGAAGATATTCTATTCTATGGTCATGGATTGCATGCTTACCTATAGACAGTATTTTTATGAAGACTAATTACTGGTTTCTCCAAGGACCTGGTAAGAAACTACAGATGCAAGAGCCCAGATCTGTCTTTGCTAATGGAACAATGACATTGATGCCCGTTATCCTACTGTGGGTCCAGTGGCACCTCTTCACAGGCCAAAGAAGGTGCTGCACCAGCCTCCCGACATGACACACAAGGCGGATAGAGGGAAGCCATGTTGGTAAACGCTAAACAAAACAAAATGAGAAGCTGGGGGGAGGTTATCCGCCTCTTCTTAGGATATGTATAGGATTTGAATGACCAGGAAGACTGAATTTTTAGTCCTCAGCAGAAAATTTGAGTTTCAAAGCTGTGACACTGGGCAACCAGGATCTAGTCACCATGGGGGACAGTTCCTGTGGTGACGGCGATTGTGTAATATAAAGTGTGAACAAAAGTGTATTTCTTCAGATGTGTTTGGAATGAACAGGTTTAACTATGCCATAAAATTAAACACTGCTCACAACAAATTATGTTGTCTACTATAGCTTTATTAGCCTTAATTACCCTTCTCCTGATTAACCATTATTTTGCTGTGTACTGCACCTTTTATGAACATAATTGGTTTGGGGTAGATATGTGGCTTCCTGCTAATACACACACAGCTACTGTTAATGTAAATAAGAAAACCCTGCATGCTTACTGAGAACTCCTCCAAAACCACAACCCCCAAAAACTGTCAGGAATGGACCATGAAAATTCCAAGAATCCTACATTCTCAGTGTGCTAGAGAATACCGTTTCAGATGAGAGTGTATGTGAGTGAGTTATTACCTCAGGTTTATTTATTTTCATAAGGATATGGTGAATCTACAAATGCTGTGTGTTGCCATTTATAATACCATCATCTTTAATCATTTTAAATTGGACTCAGGATCACAGATTTTTAGGACTAGGTAAAACCTTAAAAAAGTATTTCTTTTAAGTGCCATTTCTATAAGCTTGGGAGTTGCTACCCTTCTCCTTCTCACTCCTTTACTGTTATTGGAATGTTTCTCCTTTGGGTAATTTTTATAAACAAAGCAATCTTGAATGCTGGGGATTTGTGGGGATAAAAGCCCACAAATACAAATGAAGAAAATACTCTGGGTTGGTCAACTTATTTCTCATTCCCAATACCTCTTACCCTAGGTGCAAAAATACTAGGGGAGTGAAAACTCTGTATATCTCAGCAACATGAGAAGCCACAGTGTGCAATTTCTTCTGCCTGATGGCTCCTGGGTGGTGGTCAGCAAGGCTCGCCCTACTGAGGTGGGAAGAGCTACGTGGGTCACCTACAGTGTGTGCTTTCCCTCTACCACTGTATATTAAAGCGGAGATTTGGAGATAGTCTCGTCCTTGGGTACACCCAAGGAAATTCTCTGCTCTCTATTAGTCAACAGCTCCTTGCAGGTGTTCATAAGATCTAGTGGTGATCACAGGGGGAGAATAAAGTCCCAATAACTGCTTGGTATGAGCTAAATTATGTCCATTCAAAATTCATATGTTGAAGCCCTCACCCCTAGTACCTCAGAACGCGACTGTATTCGGAGATAGGGCGTTTACAGAGGTGACTAAGTTAAACTGATGTCTTAGGCAGGCCCTAATCCAATCAGACTGATCTCCTCACAAGAACAGGAAGTTTGGACACACAAAGAGACACGAGGGATGAATGTTCACAGAGGAAAGACAACGTGAGGACACAGGAAGAAAGCAGCCACTTACAAGCCACGGAAAGAGGCCTCAGGAGAAACCAAACCTGCTGACACCTTGATCTTGGACTTCCAGCCTGCAGAACTGTGAGAAGATAAGTTTCTGTTGTTTAAGCCCCAGTCTGTGGTATTTTGTTAAGGCAGCCCCAGCAAACTGCTATACTGCTCCACCTGCCTGTAGACTGTAAGAAATTCCCAAAACCCAAACCCACCCACATTTAGAAAAGAAACACACACAAAAACTGACAGCCATTCAGAATCAAGGAGGATGTTCAGATTTTAAAGGGATTATATTAGTAATTCAATTTAGAAGGTATTTCTGCTCATGAGGATTACACTCCTCTCAAGGGAGAAAGCAATTTGAAAGTGATTGCAGGATTCTTAGAATTTTAGAATTTGGGGCTGATGAGTTAAACAAAGATGGAAGAAGAACCAATTTTCTCAGGCTTAATGGTGCTTGTGTTGTTCCAAGTCATTGCCGGCAACATGCCAGTGGTTTGAGTGGCCCTTGAATATTTTATAAATTTGAAGCAACAATTTCAACCTGCTTCTCTACATGGGCTATCAAGACGCAAGCAAGGCAATCTCTAAACCCCAACATATCTTTAGTCATTTTAAACATAGCAATGTACTTTGTGAGCTACACAGCATTACTTTTTAATCACTGTTCATGTGTTAAGCTTTGAGACCCCAATTTCATAGGATCAGAAAGAGTCCATATTCACCCCCTTTACAGTATAGCACATCACCTAGCACACTGCTGAACACAGGACAAATGTGAGCCCACAGCATGGACTTGGGCATTGGTTTAATTTATAAGACGCTATGAAGTTTAATGACAAATAGACCTTCCTTCCATGACCACCCAAATCCAAATAGTTCCTTCCACCAAATCTATTTGATTTTCATCAGAGCACTTATTACTCAGTGATCAATGTGTCTCCTGTCAGTCTTTTCCTTTACGTCAGCTACACAAGGCCACCTTGCTTGTCAAATATCCCCAA